CCTCAAAATCATGAAAGATAAGATCACTTTCGCTTCATCCGTCCTAGAATAATAAATATTTTGTTATTTTAAATTTATTTTACAATAATAATTATATTTTATATTTTAAAAAGATAAATATTTTTTATTTTAATTTTATTACTATTTTTTTACATTAATTAATCATTCAATTACAAATTTTTTTTATTTTTTTAAAAATATTATAAATAAATATAAATATTATCTCCAAATGACCAAATTCTAAATTTAGAAAAAAAAATAAAAAAATAACAATTATTTTGATATGGATGAATTATAATTTTTGTGTGTGCTTTAATATCCTTGTTTAATACCAATGAGGGGCTGGATCAAGTGGTTTGTGATTTATTTCAGTTTAAGCAAGATCTCGAGTTCGAGATCTTGTGTATGCAACAGCTTTAATTGGAAGACTTAACCTCCCATAGGGTACGTCAACCAGGTCGGTCCAAATTAATTGGGGTAAAGCCCCATAAACCGAACGAGAAACCAAAAAAAAAATCTCCTTGTTTAATACTCTTGAACCACTCATTAACAGAGTATCTAATTAAGGTTTAATCCTGTTGAATAGCACAGCTGCAAGCGTTTGGCGGTAAAAATCCCAGCACCCAGCATAGATTGCCACCTCAGCACAGTTGGTGTCCCAGTGGGATTACAATTGTCCACCTAAGCACCATACCAGCCATGGACCCACCAAGACAAGTTCAACCGTCAAAATTTCACGATTTGATGACATCATCCATCGAGGAAGGGCTGATTTGCCAAATCATTTGAAGAATTTAAGGGTTTAAAAGCCACTAGCTTTAGTTCAGGGGCTGATTTACCACCTATTGAAGAGTACAGGAGCTCATTTGCCCTTTTTGCCTATTCAATAAATGAAAGTTCCACGTACGTAACTCTCTCCCCCATTTCTTCTTCTAGCAATAACTTTTCTCTGAGCCGTGCTGCAAATTACATAGCTCTATATAAGAAACCGAATACCGTCAATTTCATGTCTTCTATCTGATTGGAAATTATTTAGTTGCGTCGACGTTCGATGATTGATCACAAACATACAAGACTAGTGATATGAGGATATTTTGTCAGTTTGTCTCCAATATTCTTATCCCCGACCAGGTCGATCGATTATTATTACAGGGACTAAAATTCGTAGTAATATCTAGGTTACGGATCTTAGATATTCTGCCACTAATTAAGCAAAAGACCTACTTAGCTCATTGGCAATCAGTTGGCCAACTTAGTCATGAAGTTTCGATCATGATTTATAGTGCATTATTTAATTGATTAGATTGATGCTGGCTTCAATCAATTAAAGGAGAGATTCTATAAGTCACGATATATACAAGTCAATGATCACATTTTCTAGACTGGTGATATCGATGAACTTTCTAGCTCCCGTTTATGGGATTAGATTCTAGGAAGGTCTAATTAAGAATTATGACAGGATGTTGATTAGTATACATTACATAATATAATTATAAAAAATTATTATTTTTTAATAAAAAGTTAAAAATAAATAAATTTAAAAATATAATTATATATAAGATGTAAAAATTAATTAAATTAATTATATTATATTATATTTTAATAAATAAATCAAAATAAATATTAAAAATATATTGAATTAAGTGTTTAGTAATTACTTTTCACAATGGCACGGTCAAAATCACGAGGAAATACAAGTGAAAATTACAACCTATTGGTTACGTGTTTCAAACTCTCTCTCTTCCGAAAATTACATTAGAAAGCTTGTTAAACCCATGGTATTTTATGTCCAGTATGAAAAATGATTTCTACGTTCTTTGATTTAATATATATTTTTTAATATTTGTTTAGTTTAATTATTAAAATATAATGTATTGTATTAATTTAAACAAAACCTCCACATCTATCTCCAAAATAAGGGG